ATATATATATATATATATATGTATATATATATATATATAATATATATATATATATAATATATATATATATTATATATATAATATAAATATATATATATATATATATATATAGCATAATTATCGCCTTCCGTTAGACAGTATTCAAATCATATCTTCTTTACCTTAATAAACATGCGTACACACAGCAACATATCATCGTTTTCTCGCCCTTTGACATTGTCTATACTCTGATCTTTTTCCATAGAAACATCGCATACAACTATATTTAACACTATGTCTACACATCCCCCTTATACACACAGACCTGCAGCCTTTCCTTCACTCCGTTGTAATCTACACCAGCATCGCACTACACCTGTTATATATCATACCGCACACACACACACACCCTACACCTGATATATACCATACCACATACACACACCTTACACCTAATATATATATCATACCACACACATACACACACACCCTACACCTGATATATATCATACCACATACACACACCCTACACCCAATATATACCATACCACACACACCCACCGACATCAGCAGGCCCTTCTCTTCGTCTGAAATGTTAAGCGTCGCACTCGCATTCGGAATGACAAACGATAGTGATGTCACTGCCACACTGTCGCTTGCGTTGATGCAGCCTGGATTGGACAATTAGTGTGATTTACTTCCGAATTAATGCGATTCGGGACAAAAGTAGTGTGATTCGGCTCGAAATTAGTTCGCCTTGACCACGATGACCTGTGGCATAGGGCGTACCAGTTCTATAGCACGGGAAGACGTGATTTCAAATCAGGGGCACCCATTGTTTCAGATGAAGTGCGAGACGATCATACACATAGTCGCGTCGAAATGGCCTGGGAGAAATTAGTGCGAATAAATTCGATATTAACGTTCAAACTATGCACATAGCACAAAAGGAATATACACGCTTTAGGGGATATCATTATAACTATGAACATACCACAAACGACTATACACTCTTTTAATGGAGTACAGCTAATGTAGCTAATTTAAACTATGGACATACCACAAACGATTGTCAGCATCTTGTGGTACGGACCCCAGGCCACAGATGACATGACCCTTTCATAGCGCCCACTCATTCTGAACCGTAGACCTAAGTAGCAGGAGAGCGATATATATTCTAAGACATCGACTAGGGTAGGTAAGTTTACTAAGCCGGTACGGTGACCTCGAAAGGCACAGATGGGAAATAAAAAAGAAGTACATAGATTAAAGCTATGGATGTACTAGTGGTATGAGAGATATTTATGACTACACAACAGCGCCACCTGACAATCAGACAAGCACAGATGTCCATTCGAGCAGTTTGCAGCTCATCGAGTAGCCTAAACGTAAAGCGACCAAATGATATATACATATATATACATACATACATACATACATACATACATACATACATACATACATACACACACATATATATATATATATATAATGCACTTACACATACATACTTAAATACCTACGTACATACATACATACATAAATACATTCATATATACATGCATACATACTTAC